TTAAATGTTAATGGTGAATATATATATATATTAATGAAATAAACAATCTATAAAAAATCCATTAACAGTTTACATGTTTTAAAATACTGAACAACATTATTTGATACATTTTTTGTATGGTTTATGCTTTTGAAAACTTACAAAGGAGGAAAATGTTTTCACAACGATGCAGCAATGTTGTATGCACAGCTTTTATTGAAACACAAATTGTAGCCTAAGTAACATGTTTACACTTTCTACTGTGCAAGTACTTGTTATTTCATTTATTTTATGAATGAGAAATATATCATTTGTCTTTTATTTTACTGTTCATAATTAATTATATATAGTTATCACGAGTTGTCACAATGTTCTTGGCGTGGAATTGAACAGTTGTATTTTCGTAAGAAATACATAACGGCCTCATTTCTTATAAATAATTGTGTTTGCTAGGACGATTCAAAGAATGTCTCTGTTGTTTATGTATTATGATAATATTCTATCACCAATACAGTTGTTTTTATATTTTTGAATTTTCTAAGAATTTATGATATTCTGTAGTTTTAAATTATGTGCATGTATGCACACAGTGTTTTTAAAAAAAAGATGTGTTTTATGTACTCATACCTGTGTTTATTCTACAGTATGATGTTGAAATAAAAAATAAATACATTAACTTGTATTTGTGTGTGTGTATGGGGGGGATTCTATTGGGGGAAATTTTCCTAGAATTGTTCAAGCCAGTTATCTTTGTAGACTAGTTTGGAATAAGCTGGTCAATGATTATTTCAAGTGTTAGCATTTACTGTAAAATTAAATGTTTTGTAGTTGGTAACTCTAACAGAGAACAATACAAAAAACTGTATATACGTGTTAAAGATTTATTTTTCACCAGAGGTGAAACTGAAAAGAGAATCTGTAACGTAGAGGCCTATTGCATTCTTTGACTAGCTGTACCCTCTCCTGTGGACTGTTGTTTTGCCTATTCAAGGATCATCAACACAACTTGGGTCAGCAAACCAAAGAAATACCATTAGGCCTCTTATAATGGTGAAGTGTACACAATGTCTATGGAGTTTTGAGTCCATTTTATTTCACCAAAGAGTAACCTAAGTTAAGTTAGGTATGTGAATAATGTTATGACATTTTGTTGAATTCATTATTCAACATTATAATTATACAGTGAACCAACTGTTTAATGATTGTTTAAATGTGTTAAAGAGGTAAAATTGAAAAGAGAATTTGTAACATAGAGGCCTACTGCATTCTTTGATTGCCCATACTCTTCACCATTAAAACGTATTTCAAAGTATTTTTTAATTCAAGAAATTATATAATGTTCATACAAACTACAGCATAAATTAATCATTTACCATCTACAATGTTTCATTTATAGGAAGATGGCAGTTTGGATAGCTCTGGAGAAACTAAAAATTGTTTGCCTTCAAGTAAGATATATTTATAAAACATTTGTATTATAATATAAGTAAAAAAAAAAAAAAATGCATCCAGATCTGCAAGTCAATTGCTAATAATAGCACAGAGAATAATGGAATTAGGACAAATGTGTCAGGATATTCCACAATATGCCTTATGATATGCAAGCTTCAAGTTTGAAGGATCAGCTTCTTCTGATTAATTGGTGGCCAATAAGGGTTCAGGGAAATCACAAAACCACCAATCCCGATCAAATTATGCCACATCTGTCTAATATATACATGTATGTATGTATGTATATATATATATATATATATATACACACACACACAATATATATATATATATATATATATATATATATACTACACACACAATATATATATATATACACACACACACAATACATATATATACACACACACACAATACATATATATACACACACACACACAATACATATATATACAGATAAATCATGAAATCCACATCATTTAGGAAGTTTTGAAAACATTCAAAAGACATAAAAAGGATTTTTATTTTATCACTTATTACACTGTTTTTCTTGATTCAATTTGATTTGCCAAAGCAGTTCAGCAGCAACATAAGGCAGGAACATTTACATCATTATATACATATATCTATTATCCACATTCTCTTCTGCCAGAGTATGCACAATGATGACCATATGACAGACAGTCAACAGCTTAAAAAGCAAAAATAACCAGACATTTTGTCTTGAATTGGGTAAATTAACATCTGCATATCATAAATAAGAGGAAGCTGTAACTATTGGTTTCCTATTCGCTCTCTCAATTGTATGCTGCCATTTTATACATTGTGACCAATGCAACCATGTGTGAACACAAACACATTTGTTTATATCAAATAAAACCATTACCTCTCAAATCCTTTCCCAAAGGACTGTGAGATAATTAATGTAGTAGGAAAAACACTTCAAGTTGAAGTAAAGCAAAAACTTTATGCAACATAAATATGAATACATATTAAACTATACAGAAATATGTTCCAATGGTGTGTTTCTTAAGTATTTTGAAATGTAATGTGGTGGCAATATTCAATCAGAACATTATAAAGAACACAATTTTATGTAGATATATAATATATACAATTTGCACAAATATTTTGTAAATACTGCAAATAATAGTGCAGTAAATACTGCTTACACTCAAGTTGGTATGATCCTCAGTCTAACCAGCATTAAGAACATTTATTTCAATATAAATCAAGAATGAGGTACCAATAGAGGATACATACTTTTATAAATATGGTGGATATTTATAGTATAACACATCATGAGGAAACATACACAATCTAATGAACATAAGGGTTATATATACTGACATGCTTTAAAATATTCTTTATTGACACAATATTTATATTTCACAAATAATAATGAGAATTTATTTCAAATCAATTTTTCATCATCTAAAAAACTAAAATTAGAATCTTTAAGCAAATGTTGCTAACAATATTAATATCAAGTCAATGAATTAAGTACTAATTATAAAGATACTTATACATTGTAAAACTGAGGCCATCTTAACTCTTTTTCACAATATTTACTCCACTAGCCTTCAGAGTTAGGCGATTAACTCAATTACCTTTAAGTATCGATTACATCAATTAATTTTGTGAAAATAATCAACTAACTGAAATTAGTGTTTCCAATTATTACTGTTTTCAATTATTTCAACTATACAAGTCTAATGTGGTAATAACTGATAAGTTCAACAGAATAAATTAATGAGCCTGATCATTAATTGATAGCAAATTCCATGAACTGCCCAGCTCTACTGGTCATGTGTCATCTCATTAAGGCACAGGGTTTCTACATACTACAATAAAAATAAAACACATTAAGTAAATACAAATTAATACACAAACCAATTTTTTTACTCATTTTGGTTAAACTTGCATGGATATTTTTCTGTAGTTCTATTACTTTACCAATAATAAAAAAAAAACCTGATTAACTACATAAAAATTTCAAATTACTAACAGGTATTTCTTGATGAATACTGCATCATCCTCCATTTTCTCCTAAATGAGAAACATTTTGTGCCAATTATAAGATTTTTTTTTGCAGAGATTGATAATGCATTAGTAACCAAGGGAATAATTGTTACCAAATAGATGATTGAGTTTAGTTCAAAATAAAAGTGCTATAAGCTTCATAATATACACACGAGTTATTATTCAAAAAGTAGGTGTTAAAAAATTGTAATTATAACACATTTGAGTTCCAGAAACAAAGAAAAATGAGAAATCTTTCTTTAACTTTTATAATTTGGAGCTATACTTGATTCAAATACATCAAGAAATAAAACAATTCATTTCTACTTTTTTCAGTTATCTTGATATCTAGTTGAAAGGTGCACAACAGTATTATCACTAGTAGTTTAAGTAGAGCATAAAAATATGGGAACTACAGGTAAACCCTAATTGAATTCCAAGTAACCAAAATAAGCATGCAAGATTATGCAAATTACAGTCTATCATTTCCTTTCAACAAATAACATCAATAAATTAAGATAGAAAATAATTCTATAACCTTGTGAAACTAGCTTTTCCTACAGAAAAAAAAGCAATGTATGTATCCACTAGTCTAAGAATAATATTAAATACTCACACGTATTGCTCCTTTCAGATTTTCATAAATCTTAAGAAAAGATCTAGTAAATGACAGTTAAAAACATTCTGACCCAGAAGTGTAAAAAAAAAAATGTTCATTAACACAAAAAATAACTAACTTGAATTGCATAAGATCAAAAATAAACATTATAAATAGTCAATTGTAATCAGCACTTAATAACAAAATATTTATATCAAAATTTAAAAGGACATCCACAAAAGTTTCCCACTTATTTTAATGATATAGTAAGTTTACTATATATTAAAGTAATATTTATGAAAAAAGAATCTAGAGCACAGGTATGTGTATTAAATCCACTATGCACTTTTAAGGTTAAAATAGTCTCACAATTTCATTTATTTCAGCACCCTAGAATTGATAGCATGAACTATATCACTGCAATAAGTATGTTGCTGTTAGCATTTTTAGATAGTTTTTAGCTGCAGCATAGCAGCTCATAGAATGGCTCTGAATTGTTTTTTACAAGTACAAACTTTCAGCTCATAGCTTCATCTCTTGACCGATTTGAGGCCTAATTACAGCCACAGCTATTGAATATTTTTTCTTGTTTATTTCTAACTCAGTATGCATTATCAGTACAAATATAATGAACCAAATGTTGTCATCTACCAATACATGAAACTTTATACCTTCATTTTTGTCTACAAATGTAAAACAATCAAATAACAATGTGGTCATATGAAAAAGTTTCTAAAAAGGATGGGTATAAGGTAGAGCAAAGTAGTTTCATTTGATATACCATAAGATGCAAAGTGTCTTGAGATACTCCTTTTCAATTTCAAATTATCATTTTGGGAGTCATTGATCCTTATAGTAATAAGCATGAGATGTTGATAAAATTCTTAAGATGTTAACTCACTTTTATTAGGCTTGCACCCATGCCTTTGATAATAATAAGAAAACTTACCAATGCTGTCTAGGTGAACCAACTCTTGAAAGATACAATGCATACTTAAGCTTTTCTGGATCAGAAACCAATATATTTTTATTATGCATAATGAAAATGAAGGCAGGTAGTGCAAATGTTTCACTAAGGTCTTTAATACTGGATCAACATTTTATAAACTCAAGCTGCAGGCAAAGCTGTGTTGAAAAGTCCTGAACATTCCAATGAATATATCCCACAAAGTTCAAGTGACATGAATATAACTGTCTCATGAAAAACTGGTCCCTGTGGAGATAAAGAAAAGTTCCAGAACAGATTTCATGCAAAAAGTCAATGGATATGGGATAAATAATGTTATTTCTCACATGTTTAGTTACATATCACAGGCAAAAAAAATCAATCAAATTCAAAATGAAATCCAACATAATTATATTAAAAATTTACATAAAACATGATTATACTTGGTAGTCTGTTAACCCTTAAAACACTTTTCTGTGCAAGTCACCATGTTACATTCAAAATTTAAACACTTTTACTATCAAGTGAATAAAATTAAAATTATAATGTACATTTTGAATCAAAGTTTTACGTTATCTATGTTTTAAGTTCTTTATTTCAAAATAAACCTTTAAAAACTACTTAAAACTTCAGATGTATTGTCACATGACCAATGAGCTATGAAAATTCTCTACTTTGGCTCTCTTATCTTCAATAAAACAATGGTAGTTGTGTAGATGTATGTCTAGGCTCTTAAGATGCTTACCTAACATTTTGACTCATAGATTTCAAAGTTCTCGAAATGAATATAGTTGAAACAAGTAATAAAATTTTTCAACCCGACAGGTGCCATGTTCATCTGCATCAATTTGTTTGAGCTTTGTAGCCAACATGTAGATGTTACATATACATGTGTGTAGTCATTAAAAAGAGCTCATTTTACAATATAATCTAACAATATTCATTTCAAAATTGGCATGTAGTTGTTGTCATGGATTTAAGGATGGATGACTAATTCAAACCTTTAAAGGAGGGATGAATATAAACAGTATCAACATTGTTGGAGATGGTTTTTAAATTTTAAAAGAACTTTTAAAAAGAGTATATCTTAGTGGCCAAATATTTGCTTTTAATGTAGTTAAATAAGAATGTGAATTAAGTGAAATACCAAAATTTTATATATTTTGTTGAATTCAAAAACACACACTACTAGTATTTCTATATCCAAATAAATCTTTTAATAAATGTCATACAGGTGCTATGCATTCAGCTGACAATCTTGTGAACATGTAAATAATTGTAAATTTGCTTAATCCTTGCCTCAAGCAACCATTTCACAGATCTTGTATGGCTATGCTGCTGTGCCATGGCTCTCAGCATAGTGGGTCATCCCCAAGCAAAGGAGTAGTGCAGAGTTTTGCATAAGTTATTTAAGCTCCTTTGAAAATGCCAGAAAGAAATGGTCATTGATGTAAGTAACCTACAACCATGACTTTTGTATGACTTAACAGTGTGATATGCCATTATTCTTGATTTAATCCTCATATTGTGTAGATGTCTGATTCTCAGTTTTGGGAGTCAAACTGTCCAAATTGTACATTGAGACCATTCAGCTAAAAGAGACTCCAACACAGCAGCATTTTTGTTACTAAAGTGTACTTAATAAAGTTGTTAATTTTTATTGTCCACTTGTATTCATTTGTGATTTATTAAGACCTGATTTTTAATCATTGAAACTAAATAACACAGTAATAGTTAATAAATTGATATTTTGATATGATCTGTTTTTGAAGAGTTTGTTTTGAATGTAATTCTTTGTTCCATTTAATTCTTGGGTTACTGTAAGCTTTGTAAATCATACCTACAGAAAGGCACCTTCTTGATCATGTAGAACTTAAGATGGATAAGAAAGTTGCAGTTGAGGTGAGAACATGATTTAAAAGTGCAGCAAAGAATAAGAGAAACTGTTTTCTAGACCAAGGGCTTTAGCCAACCATTTAAGATTTAAGTCTGTATCCTCAATTCATCTGAGTTATTGAGAAGGTGAAAAGCAACTAGGAAAAAAAAACAGCTGTCACAACTCAACCTCTAATTTAGGCCTTTTTAAAGACTTTATGGGGTCAAAGATCAAACAACCCAAAAATGTATATTTTCAACTCCCGTGCAGTCATATTTACAGAAATCAAGATGAAAATTGACACAAATATAAATTTTCATGTATCCAAGACACTGACATACAAAAAAGTTGGATTTGCACATTTTGAGTTTTTTTAGGGGATCAGAGCTTACAAAAAAGCACAATTTTGAGGTTTTGGGTCAATTACTTGGCCATATTTTGACCAATTTACATAGGATTTGGTACAAATATACTTTTCTACAGGTTCCACTCAATGACAAACAAAAGTGGTGGATTTGAACATTTTTAGTAACTACATGGGGGTCAAGAAGCCACAAGAAACATAATTTTAAGATTTTTTGAGAACTACTCCACAGTATTTTGGCCAATTTGCAAAGGATTTGGTATAAAGATACTTTTCTACAGGTTCCACTCAATGACAAACAAAAGTGGTGGATTTGAACATTTTTAGTAACTACATGGGGGTCAAGAAGCCACAAGAAACATAATTTTAAGATTTTTTGAGAACTACTCCACAGTATTTTGGCCAATTTGCATGGGATTTGGTATAAAGATACTTTTTTTACAGGTCCCATACATACAAATATTAAAATATGTGATATGTCCATTTTTTGATCATTTTAAAGGGATCAAAGGGTTAAATAAACCCATATTTTAGGGGTTTTGGTTAATTACTTACCCTTGTTTACATGGAATTTAGTACAAAGATACTCTTTGCAGGTCTCAAACACATATAGTCAATTGTGAAATTTTTGTCTCTTGCTCAATTTTTCAGCAAGTAAAGTACAATTTGGGTTTTCCTGAACTATTCATATGTATGTCAACCAACTTACATGGGATTTGTTACAAAGATACCTTTTTGCAGGTCCCAAGCAGTGATATACACAGTTTCCAATTTTTCTATTTCTCATTATCAACGTATGTCAATAAGCTTGGTCTCAAAAATATAGTTTATAATTCTAATTTTTATTCTTTTTTTTGTTGTTGTTGTTTGGAGTTAAGCACAAAGCTACACAATGGGCTATCTGTGCTGTACACACCCCAGGTATTGAAACCCAGTTTCTAGCAGCATATGTCTGCAGACTTACCACTGTGCCACTGGAGGGCTCTAATTTTTATATTTAGTTTTAATTTTTAATTTTAAAAGGAAATGTTTAAATAAGTTCTCAATCTGCAACTTTCTGAGTCACGTGATTTGGTGGCACTGAATTCTTATTCATATATTTATTCTCTTGTCTTACAAACATTTCAGATTGTTCGACTGCAGATACTTACAAGCTAGAATATAAAATGGAAACCTCTTACATTCTTTCTTTAATAAAATATCAAATTTCTTCAACCCACATTGACATTTTCCTCCCATACCCTCTGTCTGTTAAGAAATGTCTATGATTCTCTCTGACATTACTACTGAACATGTTTATAACCAATGGAAAACTAAAACTATACACTACTTAAATCACACAGTAGTTCATTTTGATTGAGTGATAAAAGCCATATATGCCATGAGAGTTTGATGTGTATAGACCAGAGATGTTGCTTCCAGAAGTAATGAAACTTTTTAAACATACTTTTTAGTTAGTTAGAAAGCCAGATACATTCAGTTTTTTTCCTACAATCTGACCTAGTGAGTGATGTGTTTTTGGTTTTTAAAATTCATATTTGAAAGCCAAATGAATTAGTTTTAGGACAATCAACACAGTTAGAAAAAAAAAAAAAGGACTTACAATAGTAGGCACTTAAGTGCAAACAGGCCTAAAGGTGAGGTAAGTTCTAAATTTCATTGTTTTTATGCATATCTTTATTTATTTATATTACGTATTTAACAAAAGTAACTAAAACCTAATAATCAAAAACCTATTAGATAAAAAAAATTTAAATGAAAAACATTTTTTCATCATCACTCCTCACCAAACACACACAAATGAGCATGATGTAAAAATAATAAATATACTTGTTTACTCTGCTAACCCACCTGTTGGTTTACTGTTTGTCATGGTTCAAAAAGTCCTAAAGCTCTGAAGATAAACAAATAAAGAAAAACTTTTCAAAAAGGGAACTGTGTAGTAAAATGTTAATAGACAAAAATATTATAAATGAAACTCAACTGTGATTGAATAGTTATATATGTTGCTATATGTTAATTCTTGCCTGTGCTATTATATAGGGATGATGCAAATGCCATCCCTACTAACTTGTTTGCATTGTTTTTGATAGATTGATGTTAGCAATCCCTAAATTTACATCCTTTTTTGAAAAGTTTTCTCTTTACTTGTTTTATTTTTAAATGCAGTGTTTCAATAGACATAGGAAAGTTGTATTTATAACCAACTTCTAAATACAGTGAGGTTCCGACTGTAATAGTTATTGTTTAACTACTACCAGCTGTTTCACCCTGCACTTAAGCTGTTTAAAACATCATTACACTAGAATTATGATTCTTTTTTAATTACTACTACTTAATAATACTTATAAAAAGCTGATACTCGATTTGAAACTGTCACCTCAGTGAAATTGGTTGACACCCTTGTTTTAGTTTTGGGGTTATCATGTAATAAACAAGCAGCAGAAGAAAGAAGAACAATAAATTCAAATGCTTTGCAATGATATTTACAGACATTCCCAGAACTTGACTCAGTCATTAAATAAATATTGTTATAAATGGAAACACTGTAACATATTGTAAAGTTCTGATGACCTATTGAAGAGATATTTAAAATACCATTTCGATGAACAGTGTGAGCAATCATTACATAAGCAGTGCTACTGACTGCCTGTTAATTGTATATTACAATTTGGAGACATTATTTCAGTTTTTCAACTTTAGCTACATATGACTTTGCTACAGCTAATGTTACAGTACAAAAAATAAGAATTAAAGTATAGAATTTTACCAAAATAATTTTTTTGATATCTATTTAAAAAGTTCAAGAGATTATGCAAATTAAATATGAAAACTGACTCAGTAAAGGCTTCACAAGTTCAGAGTCAGCAAAAATACTTAATTTAAAATCAATTTTTTTGTGTACAACAGATATGTAACATTTACCAAAATGTTACCAAGTTTTATGATGATAGGTTTAAGTACATTAACAGTTATAGTACATATAGTTTCATGGTGGTTACAAGGTTGGTCAAAATGACTGGGCCC